CTGTGGACCCTGGTCCACGATATAACAATTGACGGGTTTTAGGCTTGGGTTGATCCCGTAATGACACATCTGTTGGGATGGGTGCAATAGTTATGTTGTGATGGTGCATACGGATGTCAAAACGACGTTGTTTTATTAAAAAACACGCATCTCCCCTTTAAAAAAAATTCAGGTTCGATTCCCAGCAACAACATTATATTGTTCATTCATTCTGGAATTTTAGTTCATAGATTATTAAATTATAGTTCATTGATTATGGAATTATAGTTCATCGATTATGGAATAGTAGTTCATCGATTCTGAAATTTTAGTTTCTAGATTATGGAATTTTAGTTCATTCATTCTGGAATTTTTAGTTCATAGATTAGATTATGGAATTATAGTTCATCGATTATGGAATTATAGTTCATCGATTATGGAATTTTAGTTCATATGTTGTTGCTGGGAATCGAACCTGATTTTTTTTTTTAAGGGGAGATGAGCGTTTTATTAAAACGACGTCGTTTTTGCATCCGTATGCACCATGCATGGTGCATACAGATGCACAGCATAATTTGCCGGATGGGTGTACCAAGCCCAGTAAATAGCAAGATAGACCAAAGGCAAAAGTCCACACAACATTGTTGAGAATGAAGGCTATTAAGACAGGCCCAAAGGTGTCTTGAATATTAGGTCTCAAGCCAACATATCCCAAATTACATAAATGGTGGCCCAACATATCCCGAATGGCAAATTATGCCCTGGACCCGTGTCCACAATGAATTGTGGACACGGGCCCAAAACGACATCGTTTTTAAAAAAAAAAATGCGTCATTTAGTTTAAAAAAAAAAAAAAAATCGCGCGCGTTTTGCTGTTAACGGCATTAACGGCGTTATTTTTTTTTTTTTGATTATGAATGTATAGTTATGCCGTTATGAATGTACAGTTATGCCGTTATGAATGTACAGTTATGCAATTATGAAATTATGAACACAGAGCTCTAACATTATGAACTTACAATGATGAACATATATAGTGATAAAATTATGACCATGGAGCTTTAAAATTGTGAATATAGAGCTTCGAAGATTATGAATCTACAGTTATAGAGTTATGAATCTACAGTTATGGAGTTATGAATCTACAGTTATGAGATTATGAATCTACAGTTATGGAATTATGAATGTACAGTTATTGATCGAATTATGAACAAAGAGCTCTAACATTATGAACTTACAATTATGAACATATAGTGATAAAATTATGAACATAGAGCTCTAAAATTGTGAACATAGAGCTTCGAAAATTATGAATGTACAATTATGGAGTTATGAATGTACAGTTATGACGTTATGAATGTACAGTTATAGAGTTATGAATGTACAGTTATAGAGTTATAAACGTACAGTTATGGAGTTATGAATGTATAGTTATTAACATATAGTAATAAAATTATGAACATATACTTCTATAACAAAGTGATCTGAAATTATAAAAAAAAAAAAAAGAAGATAACAGTGCCTAACGGCACTGTTACCCGTGTCCAGCAAGCATGCTGGACACGGGTTGCTGGACACGGGTCCAAAGCATAACGATTGATCCCGAATACAATGTTGTGTCAACTCGACGGTTGAGCCTTGGTTGGCCTATATGGGTCTAACCCACATTCACATCTCTATCATATTCTCCATTATTTGTTAGTTGATTTATGCGAAGATATGTCATGCATAAGTAATATTATGATGTGAATATGTCTAAAGGTGTAATGAGTGGTTACATTTATAACTAATTAAGGTTAAACTTATTCATGGTGTATAGTCTTGAACCAAATGTGCCAAAAGGACTATAAACAAGGCTTTAGCCACAACTGCAGAAGATTCAGCCTTGGTTCACTTGATCAGGATGCATCTAATGGGTGATCCCTCTGCCCCCACCAACCTCAAGGGTAAGCAATGAACACCATAAATCCCAAGCTCAATACCTTCAAGATTCAGGCCTTCCACCAGAATGATTTCCTGCACCATTTCAGCACGATTAAAAAATCTTAATCATTGGGAGCAACCCCAACCAAGTTGGTCAGACTGTTGACTTGGTAACCACACTAGAAGCAGCCGGTTTGCCAACTAAAGTTACAAGGTCGGCCCGAGTAGTGGCTAATATTCTGATCATAGCAATTGTAACAAGAGAAATCGACCCGGTACTTAGTACTTACCCTGCTTTTATGGAAAACTAGATGGGCTGTAATCAAGTCATCATATGCTGCAACAGATAAGTAATCAATTCCTGCAGACGAAGACGGTGTCTAAGAGTCAGTGATCACTCCCGAGTAGTGCTTAGACCTAACACTTTTTGTTGATATTGTAGATGTTATAAACTAAAATTGGGTTAGGGTCATTATAATGCACATGGGTCAAACCACACTAAAAGATTGAATCCAACAAATTAGCTAGTCTAACTTATAGCCTTATAAACTCATATCTAGGCATAACTCGTCCAGGTTGTTTGAATTTATTAGAATGATAGTGAAACTTTACTTTACTACTAACCAACAAGCTTAATATCAGTGTTGTCCACAAGCCACTGGGCTCCATCCTCCATGAATCCTACATAGCTTGTGTCAAATCCCTTCTTCCACATTAGACGCCTGAAAGTATAGCTTAATTGTTTCAGTCTCTTTCGGGGCGAAAACCTTGCTTCTGATCTGCAGTACAATTATTGTGGAAACTATATATATGACATATATACCTGTCTGTGTTCAGTGTTCTAAAGAGTACTCTCTTCACTCCCCTGGGTATATTCAACGACTTCATCACTTCAGCTAAGTGAAAGAACACAGAATACTGACTCTAAGGTCACAACTTTGATTGGTTTCATAAATCCAATTCTTTATTTATTTCTCAAGATTCTGGACAATCAGGGCTATATATTCCTTTGAATTAAAGCTTACCAGTTAGATTCTTGTCTCTGGGAACATCCACTACCAATGTTGGGCCTGTCAAAATCATAAGAAAATTGCATCATAACTGGACCGGCAACCCAATCAAGTTGGTCAGAATGTTAATTTCATAACTATAAAGTTTGGAGTTTAATTCTCAATTTGAACAACCTATAGGCCATGTTTGTTACATTAGTTAGTTTATCAGTTAATTTTGGCTTATTTGACCATTATTAGTTGTTTGACTTGGTTAAACAATCAATATGAATACTTGATTAATTAGCTTTTTGTAACAGCTTATTCTCCAAAACACTAAAATTCAAAAAGCTGTTCAAAACAATTTTTTTCGATCATACTTTTTGAGAAAGTCATTTGTATGTAATCAGCTATTATAAACAAACAGTTAATTTAACAAACATCTTTCTACAGTCAATTAATGCTATCAACTAAACTCACTGACTCAATCAACTAATAACTATCAGTTATTTACCAAACACTCATATAAACTTTCTTTCTTGATTTAAATCAATTAGTTATGAACAACCTAAATTAATGCGGTAAACCAACAAAAAAAAAAAAGAAAAAGTATCATAATATAACATAAGACATAGGAATATAGGATTAATCGGTCGAATGACGTAATACCATTGAGAACCCTAAGGTCAAGGGTGTCGACATCAAATCCCTGGTCGAAGTAATTCTGGTACATATGCCCCGGCGCATCGACGTGAGTGCCGGCGTGAACGCACAGCTTCAGCTCCGACAGGTTGTAATCGGAGCCATTCTTCATGCTCATCAGCAGTCTGAGAATCTCGCCGGCGCCGTCGTCGGAGACCCCAGAAGGCGTGTTTGGAGTGTACTGGTGAGTAATATCGAATATCTCTCCTCCTTCATAAATTTCTCTCCTCGACGGCTTGGGTTCACCGCTGGACCCGAGACAAATACCCGGTTCATCGCCATACCCGGATGGATATGCAGCATCCTTAGAAGATGCCACAGCTGCAGATAGCAGAGTAAACACCAGTAGCTTAGCTAAAGAACTCATCTTTCTTCCCTAAAGTTAACAAACTTCTTTCGGGAAGAAAGATGACGACTTTTAAGCAGAGGTACTGAAAACAACAGACGCAAAATTGACAAGTTTTATTATTATTATTATTATTTTATGTTAGAATGTAGTATATGACTGTACATACTTGCAACACAAAGAATCAATGTCCTTACGGAAATTTGAATCTATGATCTTTCATTTAGTACAATCAAGCTATGTTCAAAAGGGCAACATTTGATTCCTAAATCGTCATTCTATTCAACTAGTCAAAAGAAAGAATAACCCAATCAAGTTAATTAAACTGTAAATTTCAAGTTTCATTGTCGGAATTTATTAGCTTTCTTAGTTTGACCTGATTTTTTTTTTTTTTTAGTGTAAATCACACATTGTGGTCCGGATCTTTCTCTGTACGTTTAACGGTCCAGGTCCACCCGGTTCGCTCCTAAAGACACTGAAGCTGGCCCAAAAGGAATCGTCACTTGTGAGAATTAAACTCGAGTTATCTCAAAATTTTCCCCCACAAAAAGAATTCATTTATCACTTGATGATCATTTGTTAGCTACAATCACAGAATGAAATTTAATTAGTGTACATCTATAGTAATCACGGATTTACTTTCAAAAAAATAAATAAATAAATAAATAAATAGTAATCACGGGGCTTTTGTGCAACGTCGAAAGGGTCCTGATGTAGTGGGATCGTTTGGATTGTTACAACCTCTAGCAGATGGTTTTAAATTGATTCTAAAAGAACCTATTTCACCAAGTAGTGCTAATTTCTCCCTTTTTAGAATGGCTCCCGTGGCTACATTTATGTTAAGTCTGGTCGCTCGGGCCGCCAACCTTCCTGCAAGAGATCTTTTCTTAACATCAAATCTGTTGGGATTAGATAGAAATGATAAGAGAACCCCAACAATTTCTTTGTTTTCAACGCCTCCTAATTTCCGGGAATTAGTCACTTCAACAGCCTTCGATGGTTATACAGGTATCCACAGTACGATTTTCTTCATCATTCAAACTAGTCAAAAGAGTCAAGAATGGTGGCCAATATTATATAAGTTTATTCATATGTGATTTCTTGATATTCTAATAGATCTGTTCTAATTTTGTTGGCATAGCTGACAGCCTGACACGCACATGCTAATTTTAACTCCTAGTCATACATATGTTGTTTTTGGACCGATTGTGGATGTTGGTGAATTCAATGAATCATACTTTACCCACTCGGTCACTAATTCTACAGCAAAAGTCACTAGCTTTTACATGCCTTGAATTGTTTAACCAGAAGTACCAACTACTAAAGACAGAAAATCTAGTCCCAGATAATAATATGATGATGAGCATCCCAAAGCTTGAGATTATGGCATTGGGGCATTATCTCCAGGCTTTCAGTTTCACCATTTCTTCCTGCAGGAATTGTATAAACATGGCAGAAGGTAAAAATGGTGGCTACAAACATCAAACAGACAAACAGGGCCTTAGTGAGATGCAATTCACAATTCACAAACCTTACTAGTAGATCGAGTTACTTGATGAGGATGCATCTGATGGGTGATCCATCAGAACCAACCAACCTCAGGGGTAAACAATGTATGGTATAAATCCCGAGACTGATCTCATCAAGTTTCAGGCCTTCCACGAGAATAATTTCCTGAAGGGTTAAGCGATGTTATAATTTCAAAAAGGATTCAAGAATCAAGAACTGTTGAAATTAATAAGAGAAATTTCGCACCCTGCTCTTGAGGAATGCTAAATGAGCTGAAATCACGTCATCAGCAGCAGCAACTGATAAGTAGTCGATTCCTGTGATTCAACAAAGTTTCATCAAGCGAGAAGTGATTCACTAAGGCATCTTAAGTCTAGTGGATATGTTTTTTTAAGAGGAAAGATTCTGTTGTTTTCTCAATCGTCTTGAGAAGCAAATGGTGTTGGAAGTGTCTTACCGACGAGTTTAATGTCAGTGTTGTCTACAAGCCACTGTGCACCATCCTTCATGAACCCCACATAGCTCGAGTCAAACTCCTTCTTCCACATAAGACGCCTGAAAGAAAGCAGGTTAACATGAACAGTTCTGTGAAATCTTTACTCTCTTTCAGTGCCAATTACTCTCTATATCGTTATGAAAAGCTATGAATTACCTGTCAGTGTTCAGTGTTCTGAAAAGCACTCGCTTCACTCCCTTGGGAACGTTTAACGACTTCATTACTTCAGCTGAAGAAACAAACAAAGACTAATGTATTGAACATATTCATATGCAAAATCTATGAAAATGGTCAATCTTAGACCAAGTAACCATCATAAAGCACCTCTTTTACAACCATCAATTTGCATTCCAACAACAAAACACATTTTCACATGGAGGTTTGTTAAACAAGTCCTCTGAATCAATTGTAGTTTTAGAAACTATTTAGAATGCTTTGACTTAAAGTGGACTTTCAATAACATTGCAAAGATATATGCTTGCACAATTCACTTCATCCTCTTTTTTTTTTTTGTATGACGAGGGAAACCACAGTCAATATCTGACGGTGTGCACTAGATAACCTTATATTGTGACCCTAGTCGCCAATGGACTACAAGAAGGTAAACCAACCTAAACCAGCATAGGTTGTCCTTAAACCAAAAAGGCCAATAGGCTGCTCCTACTAGAAGTAGAACTTGTAACCTTGTGGTTACTAAGTCTACAGTCTGACCAACTTGGCTGGGATTGTCCCAATTCACTTCATCTTGATCTAGGGTAAATCAGAGCTGAATTGATTTGTGACTTGTGAGGTTTCATGCATAAACAGAAGCTAAATCCTCCCATAAAGTAGCAGATATACATGGGACTATGATTACTTCATAATTGCAGTTCTTCAACAGATTCTATTATTCTAAGAAACTTTGATTAGTTTGGAGAATCTTGTTTCATATACTGCTCAAACAAACATCCATGGAGACAGAAAACTAAGACATTAAATTCTTGAGAAAGTTTACCAGTTATGTTCTTGTCCCTTGGAACATCCACTACTAATGCAGGGCCTGTGAATAAGTCAATAAACCACTCCAAATAAGTACAAAGCAAACAAGCCACTGCAATCAAAGGAATTCCAGTAGTACATACATACCATTGAGAACTCTAAGGTCAAGAGTATCAACATCAAATCCCTGATCAAAGTAATTATCGTACATGTGCCCCGGCGCATCAACATGAGTCCCAGCATGAACACACAATCTCATCTCCGACAAGTTGTAATCAGACCCATTTTTCATGCTCATCAAAAGTCTCAGAATTTGTCCTGTGCCCTCAGCAGAATCCCCCAACGGCGTGTTGGGAGTGTACGGATGCGTGATGTCAAAGATTTCCCCTTCATAAGCTTCTCTCTGCTGTAATTTGGCGCTAGAACTGAGACAGATACCCGGTTCGTCGCCATACCCAGAAGGGTATGCATCGTTAGATGATGAAAATGCCCTGAATAGTGCAGTAAATAGCAGCAAGATAGGTAAAGCTCTCATCTTTATCGCTAAAACTATGAGCTTCAATTCAATACCAGAAACAAAGTTCTTTGACTCTTTCCACTTCTTTTAGATAAGCATGTTGGGCAAACAAAAGACTACACCTTTTTCTGATTCGTTTTCATTTTGTCTCGCTGACCGATAATCGACACACCAATTATAGATATTTGAGTAAATATCCAAAATGGTCCCTCGACTATACTTAAATTTACAAATTGATTCTCGACTTTCAATTTCAACTAATTAAATCTTTAACTTTGCAATTTTGACACAATTTGGTCCTCTATCTATTTGACCGTTTGTTGACCGCGATCTTTGAGGATATATATGTAATTTCATAGTCCATTGTCAGTTTTTTAAGGTTCCGATTGCATTTCTAGACCACACTGTTACATTTGAATCCACTGTCGGCGCTGCACCCCATGCCGGAGAGATTATAGCTTTTGATAAATAGATCGCCGAAGCCCCTGGAGTGGCTCTTCGAGAAAGCCGTGACTCCAAGCGATGTAGGCAAGCTGAACCGGCTCGGCATCCCCAAGCAGCAAGCAGAGAAGCACTTCCCCCATCCGAAACGGCGCTGTCACCTCCAAGAGCGCTCTCTAAGCTGAACTGACTCGTGATCCTCAAGCAGCAAGCGGAGAAGCACTTCCCATCCGAAACAACGATGTCACCTCCAAGAGCGTTCTCTTGAGCTTTGCACGTGAAACTACATATATATATCCTCAAAGATCACGGTCAACAAACGGTCAAATAGATGGAGGGCCAAATCGTGTCAGTATTGCAAAGTTAAGGACTTAATTGGTTGAAATTGAAAGTCGAGAACCAATTTGTGAATTTAGTTATAGTCGAGGGACCATTTTAAGTATTTACTCTATTATTTATTGTAAAAACTTATAAATTTTATCAAAATTAGTGTTTAAATAGAATGATTAATTTTATTATTTTAAAAAATTGAATTATAATTTTGAATTACTTGTATTTAGGAATGTTTTAATGTCAGATATAAATTTTCGCCTATTACAAAATGCTCGTGTGTATATAAAAAAAATATTTTCTTCCCTCTTAAATTTTACCTCAAATATTTTTCTTCATGATGTAACTTCCATTCATTATGTGTCATGAATTAATTGGTCCTACTAATTATCAAAAATATAATTTAGTTACGAATTAGATGTTGTCACTTGCCATGTCATGAAAGATGGATTGAAAGCTCTTAAGGTTGACCATTTGAAAGATTAAAAGGAAAAAATATTAGAAATCTCTAACATTACTAATAATTATTATTACATGGACTAGGGTTCACACAATTGTGTGGATACTAATAAATAAAGTACATTTAGTATATAAATAATATATTTTAAATATGTTAAAAATATACATTGTATTCAAACAAATACGGAATATATTATTTGAGTACCGAAAGGTGTATTATTTTATATAATATACACAAATAATATAGTTTTAGTAAAATACTTTTTGTTATGCACCATGGATGGTGCATACGGATGCAAAAACGACGTCGTTTTATTAAAAACGTGCGTCTTCCCTTAAAAAAAAAAAATCAGGTTCGATTCCAAGCAACAACATATGAACTAAAATTCCAGAATCGATGAACTATAATTCCATAATCGATGAACTAAAATTCCATAATCTAATCTATGAACTAAAAATTCTAGAATGAATGAACTAAAATTCCAGAATCTATGAACTAAAATTCCAGAATCGATGAACTACAATTCCAGAATCGATGAACTATAATTCCAGAATCAATGAACTAAAATTCCATAATCTATAAACTAAAATTCCAGAATGAATGAACAACATAATGTGGTTGCTGGGAATCGAACCTGAATTTTTTTTTAAGGAGAGATGCGCGTTTTTAATAAAACGACGTCGTTTTTGCTTGCATGGTGCATACGGATGCACAACATAACTACTCGCAATAGTGCAATACTGGTAGTTTGCTGATAGCCCAAATCAAAGAATTTTAGCCCAACAAAACTCAATCGAGTGAATAGGCAATAGCCCTAACGGCCTAACCGTTCTTCTCCGATTCTTCACTCTCCGTCTCGACCAGCTTCCGCAGTCCGCCGGATTCCGCCCTCGTCTCTCGTATCTCACCGCCTCACGCCCTCCGCCGCCGCCTAACACTGCAGATTCATTGTTATATCAAAGGGATAAGAGTTCAGTATGGGAAAAGCCAGGCCACGGTAAGTAGACTAAATGTATTGTTTTTCATCTATCTTTAGCATTCATGTCAATGCCTTTCGAATATTGCTGCTATGATCCCTGTCTGGTTTCAATTCTTAATCCATTTTGGTAACCTCTGCTATCCTCCCCAGTGTGTATTGTTTGATTGTGTATTTGTGTTATCTGTTTTAATTTTTTTATTTTTTTTTGAAAGAGTGTTATCTGTTTTAATATTCCTTATTTAGACAAATATTTGAGGGCCAAAGTGTTAAAACTTAAAATGGCTGCTTGATCCAGTGAACAGTTTTGAACACTGCATTTAGGTTTGTTAATCGGGTGTCAGGATTCAACTTATATGTAAGCATTGCATCATAGATTATAGTTGAATCTAGTTTAACTATTTTTACATAAAGTAGGAATAGAAAGGAGTCATATTGCTTTACATGTTCTCCTTAACTGTATGTTTATCTTCTCTTTTCTTTTTAATCAAAACATGAATATTGATTTTTTTCATTTTTTTACTCAATGACTCAGTGAAGATGCATCTACACGAGCTGATCGCAAATTCGAGAAGAAAGTGCAGTTTTATTCTAGTAAGTGGATATAGTTCTAGCTGTATATAGCAACTTTCCAGAGTTAGATGTGTTGCATATGCAAAGAGACCCTGTTTTCCGCTTTTGAATGATGGTGGTGATAATTTTGTAGCTGCATAGACTGTAATATCAGCATTCTGTCTTCTTTAAGTATTTGCTCTAGGATTCGAAGTAATATATTTATTCCTTTTCTTGAATGACACAATTTCGTTGGTTTGGCATATGAGCCTCTACATAGACCATCTTGTTCCAACGAACTAGTTTTAGAGTCAGTCATGTGACCATACATTATCAAAAAGACCTTCACATAGTACTCAAGTATCAAGTTATGTTTTTAAATTGACTTTCTAGTGGAATGATGATTGATGGGTTTTGCTGTCAAATGAATTTAATGTTGTAGTCCATGGTCTTGTTTTCACCTATGTTTTTTTTTTTAATTATGTATGTAGAGGTTAGAGACACAGTTGCTTCATTGAGTGCTCAGAAGGCCATCACAAAGGTACGTGTCTTCACCCTTTCCTTTTTCTCCCCACTAAGAGTGTACAACTCTCATTTCGAAATAAAATTTGACATGGAATAGGATTTTAAAATCCTATTATAATTTCCCCGGCTTGAGTCTTTCTGGTGTACAAACATTCCTTGTATTGTTTTGCTAATACAATGTTCCTTGGTTGGTTTGCAGAAGACAAAGGTCCAAAGGAGGAAGCAGAAATTGCAGGCGTACGATCTATCTTCTCTTTCAGAGTTCCTACCTGAGTTGGAAGCTCATCAAAAACCAAAAGCAGAACTTAAATTAAACAGAAAAACCAGGCAAAAGCTACTGTAAGCAATCCCATTCACCCTATATCTGTCTCTAGTAACGCTATCATTTATCCCGACTAAAAAATGTTCATCTCATCAGGCTAAAGGAAGGCGATCAGCTGCGGGCTGTCATTGGTCATCCTGCTTTTCAGTCAAATCCCCTGCAAGCCATTTATCAACATTTGCAGGGCACACAGCCCCTGGACAACGAGAAACCAAAACAGGACAGAAAGAAGGGAAAAGGAAAAAAGAAAAAATCCAAGCCTCAGTTAATGGAAACCTGATCTACACCCTCATGTTTTGTTTTTTCAGAGCAATGCCAATGTGCAAACCTTTTGATATTTTCTATATTTTGACCTGTGAAATTTTCTTCTCATTTTTGTTCTGTAAAGATTGTTATACTACATAATACTACAAAACAGCTTTATGGTTCTACCCCAATAGGCCTTATAAACAGCAAAATTGGAAAGAACATGGGTGATTTAGTTTCTTTTAGTATAGTTAGAAAAGGCAAGTGAAGCATTAGCCAGAATTTGTTACACCAATGGTCTTCAAAAAACAAGAAAAATGAGGAAATTGTACATATCAGCTACACCCTCTAAAGCATTTGAGTGAATGGCAGTCGATACCATTCTATTCATTCACAATGCTCCTGGTATGTTCATCCTAAGTGCTTAGCCAAAAGTACCTACAAAAGAAAGTAAAGTAAAATAAAATAAAACATGGCATCAAATAATACATTGAATGTGAATTTCGAATAACAGGGCCACTTGGAAAACCTTATGCATCAAGTGCATCAGATTGAATGCATCTTTCCAGGATTAGAAAACATTTCCTATGCCATAAATAAGTAGCCTCTCATTCTCAGCATTTGAAATCTCCATGTGTGCCAAACACTACTCGATTTGGATTTTATAACAGCACCATAAACTTTTAAACTATGACACACTGATCTAATGGTGATTTTAGCGGAACTGAATGTGCTGATTCAACTCACGTGTTTTGAAACTTTACAGCCAGCCTAATTACTCACTTTCTTTCAGCATAGTCTAAACTCTAAGGAACATCACAACAGATTATATCTCAATAAGAAGAGAACAAAATGCTTACAGGAGAGGGCCATAGAGACTCCACACCTTAGATTTACTGAAACTTCTTTTCCTTGTTTAGAGGCACATAAATCTTTTTCAAAATTGTATCATCGATTTTCTTGTACTTAGAACGGATGATGTTATGTGCCAAAATGAGCTTATCATCAATTTGATCTTGGTAATTCTCATATAATGGAGGAATCACAAGACTGAAAATGACCCCTGAAATAGAACCAAATGTCTTAGGTGTAGAGAAAAAAGGCTTCAAATAAGATGTTGGACAACAAAGCAGCAACAAAACTCACCCATGTAGAACAGAGTCAGAAAGTTGAAGAAGCTTCCAACATATGAAACGGCCCACAAGCCAAAAGCAACCTGTGGAGTATTCGTCATATTTCTTTCTATGTGGTGAAGAGATGATGGAGAGAGACAATTGGCAAGTTCTTTTGCTACAAAAAATAGCACCATTTTTTAAAAAGTCTACATCACGCGTCACATTTGGTGCACGAAGCATGCCCGTTGGGCAAGTTAAGTATTCTAATTGTTTTTTTTTTCTTAATATTTTTTCTCTATACTTCATGCCTCTACCTATAAGTGTATTTAATTGGCCTACCAATCTTTACAACATCTATGTTATCGCACACTCAAATATGTCGTATGTTATACTAAGAATAACATACCAATTAGATGAGAACCCCTACATATTGTGTCATTGTAGCACAACATCATTGATTGGAGCAAGCAACCATTTGGAGAATAACACGTGCAAAACTAAGATTAGAATATATCGATATGATATTACTGTGCACCTAACCCCCTATCAAATTTACTATATTACTTACTCATATAGTTAAAGGTGAATCAATTGTCATAAACCATATAATCAATAATAAATATCATTGTAGTCTTCGTCTTTCTAACCACTTATGATGTATTAAATTGGCCCATCAATCTTTAGTTCTTTACCACGTCAATGTAAGCATATGGTCATATATGTCGTGTTTTATAGTTAGAAAATTCACCAATTAAATGAAGTCATTGATTGGAACACGCAACCATTTGGAGAATAATATGTACAAATGTACAATACTAAAATTCGAACCTCTTGACGTGTTATTAATGAGCACCTAAATCTCCAATACTCATACTCATGTAGTTAAAAACAAATCTATTAGCATAAATTTTATAATGACCAATAATAAATATCCTCGTATCCTTTGTTATTCTAACAACTTGGCGTATTTAATTAGCCTATCGATTTTTACCACATCCACATAATATACAATTAAATATTGTTAACCGGATAAATTTATATGATCTTTTTATAAAATGTTTAAATTATTAATGGTAAACATAATTTTATTTGGCATATTTTGATTGATTAACCAAATTCGTTTTCATCGAGAGGGTATAAAGCGTGTTTAGACTTTAGAGCGGTAACATTGAACAATTATTCCATAAATTTTTTAGAGATTAAAAATATATGAATTTGGATGATTGATAGTTATAACATGCAAGTTTTGTTATTTCTATAATTAAAAAAATTAATAAAATGGCATATCATTTGAATTCAAATTTCAAAAGTTGATTACTTGATTATTACTTCCGTGCTTGGCTAATTTTGTAAAATCATCACCTAATTAGTACTCAAGAAGGAATAGCTCCAGGCCACTAGCGGCGTTTGAACATTGAAGAAAGCAACTCCCGTAACGGATACAAATGGTCAAAATGCGTTGAATAACTAACGGCCATCCCCTAGACGCTCTCTCTGTATTGGCGAGATATTTATGGGATTCACTTCTCATGCGTCGACACGTGTCTCATTCCAGCTGTACTCCCCCGAACCGACTCGCCCCACCTACATAAACCGCCTAACTGTAACGCTCCACTTAACCGGTTCCTTCCGTTACCCTAACAACTCCAACCCCGCCTATTTAAACTCCCTGCATTTCCTTTCTTCGCCGAAATCGAGTCTTCTCAAATCTCAACCGCCTCTGTTTAAGTGCGGTGTTTCGGGGCATGGCGGATTCGGATCGGGTTAAGGGGCCGTGGAGCACGGAGGAGGATGATTTGCTGAAGAAGCTTGTGGAGCAGCACGGGGCGAGGAACTGGTCGTTGATAAGCAAGTCGATTCCCGGGAGATCAGGGAAGTCGTGTCGGTTGCGGTGGTGCAATCAGTTGTCGCCGGAGGTGGAGCACCGCCCGTTCACGCCGGAGGAGGACGAGGTTATTGCGAAGGTGCACGCGCAGGTTGGGAATAAATGGGCGACTATTGCTCGAATGCTGAATGGACGGACCGATAACGCCATAAAAAACCACTGGAATTCGACGCTGAAGCGGAAGTATTCCGCCGTGATTGGCAGCAACGAAGGAGGAGAGCCGCGGCCGGGGCGAATTCTGAAGCGGGCGGACAGCGCCGACGTCACAGTGACGGCAGCGCCGCCTGGATTACGAGTAAGTCGCGACAGTTCCTCCGATTCTGACATTAGCTATTCTAGCAACGATAACGGTCCAGCCGCTGTGAGGAGTGTACGGTTGGCTTTACCTTTGCAGGCGGTGGAGCCTCGACTTGTTTCAGAGAAGGAGAACGATCCTTCGACCGTGTTGACTCTATCGCTGCCTGCGCCTGGATCAAATGACGGCGTTTCTTCGTTACAGCGTGATCAGCCGAGTTACCGCCGCGGTGACAGCACTGAGGCTGCGGCGCCGGCGCCGGTGAAGTCAGAGAGTACTCTGACGTTGAGTCCTGAATTACTGTCGTTGATGCAGGACATGATCAGAAAGGAAGTAGAAACTTATTATTCAGCACTTGTTATTAAGGATGGCGTTAGGAACGCAGAAGTGAAACGCATTGGCCTTGGCAAAACTAACTAAAATAGCTTTCAGGAAAAAGGATGATGGACTTATAATTGTCCTTTGAATTCTGGAATTCAAATTGATTGTTTGGGTACTGAAAATTTGTTAATTAATGAATTATATACAGTAGTGGTGGATGTTTGATTTGGAATGTCAAATTCTAACCCAACGAAATTATATTGTTTTTGTTTTTTAAATTATTAAAATAAAAATAACTACATAATTGAATTAATGAAATGGAGGAAAAAAAGAAACCAAACCATTATGACAATAACCGGTGTTAACCCAGGTGTATGGTTACTATTTTACTCCCTCCCCTTGCGGCAACCTTAACATGAGCCACGCACACAATCACGGTTTGATTCCCCCCGTGGTGCCAAGTGTTAGCATAAGCCACGAATCCCATGATTACCTTGGTTTAATACTCATGATGCCATTTTATTATTTGGAGCAAAAAAAAAAATATTAATATTCAATTAAGTCATCTGATAATTTTATCTCGACTCTATTACATTGTAATATGTAGCATGTAGAGTTAATAACGTCTCCATTGAGGCTAATCTAATGACTTCCTACTCCCACATGAGAGTGGTCATTACATGCCACTCCAGCCATCTGAGCATAATGTGTTTGACATATTTAATTTAATTTAGTTATTGATACTAGGCAAATTATGTTGTGAAACCGTGTCCACCTTAGTTATTGATACTAGTTATGGACACGGTTTCAAAACTGTTCATAATTATGAATATATAGTTCAAAAATTATGAACATATAGTTCTATAATTATGAACATAGAGTTGTGAACATAATTATAAACATATAGTTCTGTAATTATGAATATAGAGATTCAATAATTGTAAATATAAAGTTAAAAAATTATGAATATATAACTTTATAATTATAAATATAGAATCGTGTCCATCTTGCAAGGTGGACACGGTTCCACTTGTTGATTCTAACCGCTGAAGACTCAATTAGGTAAAACCATCGAAATCACCTAATTAAGTAAAAAAAGTTGTTTAGAATTAAATCGAGAAAAATTACTATAGTTAATGACTAAATTATGTATTAGTACCTAGTATATGTTGGGTTGAAGATAAAAATAATATTTTCTCTATCTTATTTTACCTGTTATGTTTCTAATAATTGTTCAAATCAACTATTTATTATTTACTTACTTATGAAACATTAGATTAAAAATAATTTTGATTAATTCTTGTTAATTGAATTAAATATATTAAATGAGACGGAAGGAAGGAGTGATCATAAGTTCATAACCAAACCTCGTTGTCTACTTGTCTTGTACCGGTGAATCTTGCTTTCCGAATGAAACTTGATTTATACGCTCAGATCCGAAACTGATTTGGTAAGGCCGTTGGGCCGTAAGAGTTTTGATATTGGGCTGGGTCGACTTTGTTCGCCAACCGACAACAAAATCTGCCACCGTCCGAGTCACCGGCTAGAGCGACACGCAGAGCCTGACCAAACGGAGTGGGGTTTCAAACAGTGAAGATCTCCGATCAATTAGAGCCGAAGAGGAAGAAGACGAGCACGAAGAAGGAGGAGCACCGGCAATATGCTTCCTACATCGTCACTGAAAGGGCGAACGAGCTCGCATGCTCGGCCCAATTCAGTTTTCCCTCAGTACCTCCGTAGAATAGTCAAGGTTCGTTCCCATTTCCATCTCATCTGCTCCTTTATGTTGATTTATACGCACTGCGTACGCGTTTTTGCTTCTGTACGTATACGCATATATGCGTGTGTATTCTGTGCTGCGTCTTTACTTTCTCATACAACCTGCATAGATCGGATCTCCACTCTGTTGTTCATCGACAATTCACATTTGAGCTCCGCTGCTGCAATAATCTCGAAATCCGCATCGCATTGTTTATTGTGATTCAGCTGTAGTATGTAGGTGTGTTGATTGGTGGATTATGATTAAGAATCAATGCTGAACTGTAATTCTGATCGCTAAGTTTTAGTTACAGCCTGATTAGTTCACTTGCTAGGAGCATTCAATTAAGGTTATTTGGACGGTGGAAGGTAAATTTTTTTTTAATTTTTCGAGAACTTGATGAGAGTTACGGCAGGGCAGAGGTCATGAACTATGTTCTGCCTTTTAACTAGCAGCTAAATTCTAAAAGCTTCCATTGGATATTCAATGTAGTAAAAAGGAGTGGTTCAGGCCTCCTTGTTGAGGTGAAATTTGAATACTAAAGTTTTATGGAGCTGCTTATTTATACATATTGAAGGAGAAATATTACAGTGTTCTGCATGTTGATGTGTTGCCACCTAGTGCATTTGCACAATAGAATCTGGATAAGCTACTGGTGAGAAGACAAATCCCTGCTTATGGCCTGAATTTACATCCCAAATTTAAATTCAAATAAGAAATGAGGTAAAAGTGTATAGTGAGAACTGAGAAGAGATGTATTTGTTTCTTTTGCATTTATCACGAACTTGGTGCTTATTGTCAATGTTACATTTCTGCTTATTGTTAATATGTGCTTTCAGTTTTAGTATATGAGCTGATGTCTGAGCTTGTTTCATGAACATTATTTTCCTCTACCTATTAAAAGAAAACAATACTTTTCCTAGACTTCTGCAAACCACAGAGCCACAGACCACTCAATATCAGTTTAAAATTTTGGATTTCTGTTATATATTGTTCTGCTGGTTAAAGTTTGAAAACCAGCCAGTCACTTATCATCCTTCGCTTACTTATAATGTAATTATTATTCTTCTATCGTCATTTTATCATTATGTTACTCTTTGCAGTGGCAACAAATGGATATCGAATATACTTTCTGGCAAATGCTTCACTTATGTACCTCTCCAAAAGTGGTGTAAGTATTTCTCACTTTCATAGTTTCATGTTTTATTTCTGCTGTTGATTGCTTTACTGATCCATATATGACATTTTCAAATCTTATTTTTGTTCTGCGTTTTGCATGTGCAATACTACTATGGATGCAGATATCAGCACACTAAGTACCACAAACGTAAGTCCTATATTGGTATCTTTCTATTTGCAAGCATTTTTGAACTTGCTTTTCTGGTTCTTTGTGAATGGAATAATATGCTAAACAATTTCCATTTTACTAGATTATTATGCCACATGCATTAGTAGCATTAGATTATCGGTCCAAAATATCCTGGTTGAATTGGGAAATGTCCTTTTCATGGGGCCACTGATCAACTCAAGCATTTATTAGCCTATTTCTAAGAGGAGCTCATAAGCTCAAGCCTTTGTGCTGAAAGCATGTTTGCTGTTTGGTTTGCCCTTCTTGCTAGGCCAAGCTCAAGGGCATATATATATATATATATATATATATATATATATATATATATATATATATATATTACTATATTAGTTCTTAAATGAACAGTACTGTAAAGTTCATTCCAGGAATAGTGAAAATAATAGCTTGTACTGTTGACTTGTAGTCTTCTTTAACAATAAGCAAGCTGAGTTTGGTGTAGTGTGCCAAGTTGACTTTTGATAATGAGTTATTTTATTTCATTTTTATAACACATCAGTACATCACTACCTTTATAGTTTGTGTATAACTGTATATAATTCATTTGTTCACTCTGAGGCTTTTCTAGTAAGTTTGAAAGGTGGCACTGTTGGGTGGCTAGGTTTTGTTTGTTGACTATTTTTCTTACCACGGATAATGGTCCTCTATTAAAATAGCAAACATCAATTATTAAATTCTATAAATTTGTTTAAAAGAAATCTTAACCGTTCAAACTATATTTATTGATTGCAGAAACAAAGAACCAATGGGCACGGGATGATCCTGCATTTATTGTTATATGCAGTCTTCTTTTAGCATGTTCTACTTTAGCTTACTGTGCTGCGTAAGTATCCATTACTATTACAGTATGTCAGTATTACTATAGAGGACAGCATCTTTTAGCCTTACTAAAGTTGTACGTTATTGAATTCTAAATTTATGCTAATAAACATGAATTGATGCATGCATCTGAGCATAGATATTACTTTGATAATTCATAAATGTGAACTTGGAAAACCAATCCCAAATTCACTTTTCTCAACTAGTGGAGAAGTGGAAAGATGATTTATTGTCTGAGAGCCTTTTGTTTTAAGTCAGCATCGTTGCAGTTAACATTGGTAACTACAATGGTACTAGTTCTCAACTTTTAGGAGCAAATTTTATGCATGTCAAATAAATATAACCATAGAAACCAATCTAAAAATTGGAATTGATAACAGAAAATTTACATACTAGACAATATTTTTTCCAGTTATTTCCATTTTGATTTTCCGAAAGTTAATTTCATAGCAATATATAAATATTTTCCATTTACCACAACTTCGGAGGTTGTGATTTCTGGAATAAATATACATGTCATATAATACTGATACATTTGGTTGGCTATCTTTCTTGTTTCAGGTATGATCATAGTGCAGGGCATACTGTTTTTGTGGTTATCTCTGTATTACTTTTTCATTTTTTAATAACCGGAGCTGTTTTGTCTACATGTTGTTGGTAAGAGCCTATAGTTAATATAATCATATGCAATAGTTCTCTTTATCTCTCTGTTTTTTTTTTTTTTTTTTGGGTGATCTTTTTTCTTGTTATTGACAATAGCTGCTCTAGCAATTTCCTACTTTCTTTTTTATTCTGGCTCTTGGCCTAGATGTTATTTTCTTCTCTAGTTTCTTGCCCTCTTTTCTTCCCATGGAAGCATGTTGGGCTAAACCACATTTCATGTTCTATATTATGTTGCAACTCCTGTGATATATCACAAAGAAGTGCATTTTATTTGTTATTCTAAATGTAAATGGAGTCATTGCCAGAGCAAAAAGTGCAGTAATATGGAAAATTCAATGTGATAATGTCCTTGCAGGTTCTTGACCAACAATTATCTTCGAGAGGAAACTCCAAACAGTCATGTGGTGGAACAACGGGTTGAATGGCAAGTTTAGATCCATGTCCTGAGTTTGTCTATTTTTGCAATTTTATTATAATATGTTGAAATCATTGTTATTATTCTTCTTTGATATTCTTCCCGTCTTGTGAATGCATTTAGGTTAGTTAATTTGAAATTGGATTTTATTTGCTAAAATTATCTTCACCCTTCTTGGCCTTGTGAAGGTTATATGCTTCTTCTTCTTCTTCTTCTTCTTCTTCTTTGATATTCTTCCCGTCTTGTGAATGCATTTAGGTTAGTTAATTCAAAATTGGATTTTATTTGCTAAAATTATCTTCACCCTTCTTGGTCTTGTGAAGGTTATATGCTTCTTCTTCTTCTTCTTCTTCTTCTTTGATATTCTTCCCGTCTTGTGAATGCATTTAGGTTAGTTAATTTGAAATTGGATTTTATTTGCTAAAATTATCTTCACCCTTTTTTGGTCTTGTGAAGGTTATATGCTTTTGATGTCCACTGCAATTCTTTCTTCCCAATGTTCATCCTGCTTTATGGTAAAAACATTTTCAGAAGAGAAGGTTTTAACCCCTGCATGTTGAAATTTTTCTTACGTTTTCTGTTTTTTTTTTTTTTTTTTTTTTATGGCAGTCGTGCATTATTTTCTTTCCCCCCTTCTGATTGCTCATGGTTTCATTCCCCTTTTACTATCAAATTTGCTCTTCATGGTTGCCGCTTCCTACTATCATTACCTCAACTTTTTAGGTTATGATGGTAAGATACACTTACTCTATTCTTTCTCATTGGTCATACTTGCATTGGTGATTCTACTCCCAACAACTCATTGTGTCCTAAAAATGTCTAACAACCATACATTTTTCCACGGTGCAGTATTGCCCTTCCTGGAAAGGACCACTTTCTTCCTGTACCCAATTGGCATTGTTATTGTCCTTTCACCTATTTGTAAGTAATAGTTCCTTACCTTTTCTTTGTTTCTAATATACGCGTGATTACTTAATGCTGCGATAACTTTTCTCGTTTGTAGTTATTTTGAGCGGCTTCAGTCCATCAAGATATTTCATGAACATGTACTTCAGCAGATTGGTATGATCGCAGCCAAGGCTTTATAATAGGACCTGTTACAACATGGGGATGAATTGCAGGATGACCTCGATGCAATTGTTTACAGTTCCATTATATCTTGAATGGAAGACGGGGAAGTTGATCAAGTTCTCTGGTATGGCCTTTTACCTTTAGGAGTGAGAATTGTAACTGAGCGGAGCTTATTAGGTGCTTGTAGTGTTGTACTGCGGCTGCAAAAACTGATCCATACCAATTCAATGTAAAGATTTTGCTTTCTTAATTGCACCGACTATCGACCATGGACCACAGTTCCTTGCTTTACTGAACTTGAAAATACCTAATTGTCATTTTAATGGAGTTGGCTTTTCAGCTGTGTTGTTGTACTGGTACAGCTTGCCAAGACTGATCCTCCCACCTAAGAGGTCGATGAGTTATCGTGACTTACCTTTTTACCATTCTGTCGGGTCAGAGCGTGGTGTCTTTGAAGCGAGAGAGATTTTGGGTTTCGTGAAAAGCTTGCAATGACTGTTGACCTGTTGTTGCTTGAAAATAAGGTGTGTGTAAGCGTTAGACAATAAATTTGCGTTGAATTAGTTTCCTACTCTCTAATGTATAGGGTCCATCTTTGTGGTGAACACTGGAGACCGTCACTCCATCTTGCGAAAATTCTATTAGATTTGACTATTTCAGCCACCAAATTCAAATCTAATAATGTATACTTTTTCAGGAAACTCAACTACCAAATAATTAATCTCCTGTTGAACCATCGTTTTAGCCATCAACTAATCTTTATAGAATATTTATTGCACAAAACTAATAAAATAATCATCAAAAGGCGCTAATACACGGATAAATAATATTAACACTAGTTAAGAAAAATATGAATATTAAAATTTGAAAAATAAAAAAAATTATTTTATTATGGCATCATACCATATCTCATCATCCCTCATCTGGAAACGCATGAAAAAAAAAAAAAAAAAAAAAAAACACTAAAATGTTAAACGTCGCTATGAACACCTACCACCACGGTCCACGGGCACAGTCTTTACATTCATTATTCTCAAGTTTTCAACTTGTTTCATTATTACTCAGAACATGGCATTCATTAGTCAAAACTTGTAGGTATGACAAAAGTACTATGTATGACAACACAGAGGAGCACGTCCTCACCACCTTATCCAAACCTCACCAACTATCTCTTGACAAATACCGTTATCTACTCTTTAAGAGTCAAACTCAACGCGATATAACACGTAACAAATTTAAATCCGCTTCCAGTTGTGTAATGCTGAATATGGGTAGCTCAACTGGTTATAGAGTTAAAAGTTGAAAAAAATGGCCAGGGATCGAGAGTTGAAGGTCAATCAGAACTTAGTAGTGGATAGTTTAGCTTATATTTTACCTTACCCTGCAATGATAACATTTTCTTCTGACTTCTTGCAAGAAAGAGAGAGAGAGAGATGTGGCCACAAATCAACAATGTTACAGACTTACAGTTCAAGTTTGGTATATTTCACAATCATAAAACGACTCAGCCTTTAATTAATTATATTGAAAATATTGATAATGTTAAATCAGACACAGTTTCTTGAAAACTTTCAAACAAGCAAATTTGAAACAGACAATTAGACAAAGCCCCCCCACACAACCTGGGATCACAAAGACAGAAACGTTTGATCCGAGCAAATTAAGCAAATGTATATATGTTGTGTTTGTATATTAAGCGTCGTCGAGTTTGCTTCCCGCAACGTCCACCACGAATCTGTACCTAACGTCATTCTTCTCGAGCCTCTCCATGGCGGTGTTGATGTAATCCATCTTCACCACCTCAATCTGGGAGGTCAACCCCTTTTCCTTGCAGAACTCCAGCACTTCTTGCGTCTCTTTCATGCTGCCTATGAAGCTTCCTGTGATGGTTTTCCTCCCTAACAATCATATTATTATATGATTAGTAGATAGTGGTTTCCGTGTCTCATTTAACTACTCATAATGCAGCTAAACACGACAAGACAGAGTTTAAAAATATTGCAAATCAATGACAAGAAAACATGGGACAATGCACAAACAAACCATGATTGATTCTAGATTCTCGAAAGCCTTTGTATACTGTCTAGATTCCTGAGCATATAGCCATTAATGTGCAATCCAACTATCAGCTTAGGCTTTTAGTTGAGATGGAGCACATGCTTCAATTTGATATCAGACCAAAAGTCATGGGACTACGGTCCACGTTTTGCTTGGAACCCACAGCACACGTGAGGGGCGTGTTGAGACTTTTAGTTGAGATGGAGCACATGCTTCAATTTCCCTAGCGTGTTGGCAACGTGGAATTGATTCTATCTAGGAGCTTAGTAAGAAGATGAGCAACTTACCAAGCATAACCATGGGGGTAACAAACTGCAAAGGGGTGTTAATAACACCCATCAAGATTAGCTTGCCATCAACTTTAAGCAAAGACAGGTATGGCTCCAAAGGATGGCCAACCGGGATGGTGTCAATAATGTAGTCAAGTGAATCAGCAGCCTCTTGCATCTGCGCTGCATCTGAGCTCACCAGATAGGCATCTGCCCCGAGGTGGTTTAACGCTTCCTCTTTCTTCTTATCGGAAGAGCTTATGACAGTAATGTGATGCCCAAATGCCTTGGCTATCTTCACCCCCATGTGTCCAACCCCTCCAAGCCCCAAGATTGCTCCCCTTAGCCCACTCTCTTTCAGTCCAAAATGGTTCAATGGGCTGTATACTGTCACGCCAGCACAAAGCAGAGGCGCTGCTTGTTCTAGGGCCATACCATCCGGTATCTTCACTACAAACCTACAAGAGATGAAGATCGATTAAGAAAAAACCATTACAACATATTGGTTCAGCCCAACCAAATTGGCTAGGGTTACTCTGACTTGCTTCTCTGTTACAATGCAGTATCTGTCCATAACTACTTTCTCAACCTACTGAAGCACAAAGAGCCCCCACTCAAGCTCGAACCCATAACTTCCCATATAGGAGAGCCACTTCATGCCACTAGACCAGAAGGTCATTGACAAATACTTTGCATTATATTTTAGTGCAAACTACAAAAATGGCATTAACATTGTTCATCATCCACCCGTAAAGAACCACAAGGAGGTAAACCAGCCTAACTCACCAACTCAAACCAAGAAGACCACAAATTTGAAACATTGCGATTATCAAGGCAATAGGCCGACCAACTTGACTAGGATTGCCCGAAACCACATTTAGTTTCTATGATGAGCAAATACTTGCATTTGACAGATAAGGATCATCTCTAGTCATCCTAAAGGACAGCAAAAAGGTGAGAAATTAAGGGAAGCTGATGCCTTACTTCTGATCAACAACCATTTCACCAGCAAAACCTCCTTGGGTGGGCTTGCCATCAGTATAAACATCATTGTAATTCCAAATCTTCTTGCTGCAATACTGCTCAATATCTTGATTGCAAGGGCGGCAGTTCCTGCAACACCCTACAATCAACCCAACTCCAATAGTGTCTCCCACTTTGAACCTTTCCACATCTGATCCCACTTCCAGCACCTCACCCACCACTTCATGCCTTCACCCCAAAACCAAAAAGATCAAATGAATAAACAACTGGGAATAGATAATATTGAATTGACTTTATGTAAGTGTGATATATACCCTGGAACCATGGGATAATTGGACATGCCTAGGTCATTCTTGACCTGGTGAAGATCACTATGGCAGAGACCACAGCACAGAACCTTGATATAAACATCTTCAGGCCCAGTGTTCCTGACAGCCCAATCCAAAATTTCAGCAAAAGTTTAAAGCTTTACAGTGTTTATTGACTTATTCCTTACTAAAACCAAGAACACCATAGAATTGATGCAGAGATTCAGAGGGCTCTGATGGTTTACCTGAGATTATAGGTGTAAGGGGAAAGAACCCCAGATGGGTCTCTTGCAGCCCACCCCACTGTCTGTCTCTCTGACTCTAAGCTTCCCATAATCTTGAAAATGGAGGCTTTTGGCTGCAGAAGATAGAGTGTGGTATTGAAGAAAGGAAGAAAGGAGTCTTGGGTTTACTGAAGGAAACCAGATGGCAAACGCACCATATATATATAGTATTATGATTACAAGTTACAACCCAGAAGATAACAGACAGCGAAGTGCCGGGAATAATTTATTAAATCCATTTTCAATAATCGAAGGAAAAAAAAAAAAAAAAATTGACAAAACGACATCTCAGCTGCAACAGAGCTCGATTGGGATATGGGGGGTTGGTGAGGTTATACCTTTTTCCCCAGAACTTGATTGGGTTTAAGATGCCAATAGTACAGCCATTGATTTTTTCACGAAGAAACACAATCATTTGATTCCTATGTATTTGTTTATTGTTCATTTGTTTTGTTTAAAAATAAGAATATCCTCGAAAATAGTTTTTTTTTTTTAATCATATGGTATAAAATACAATAATTTAGATCAAGATTGTAAGGACAGAGTAATGTAGAAAGAATGAGGTTATTGATGATTTTGAATAAGCCAAAGACTAACATTTTCGATTTAACAGAGTTTGCTATTTTTTTTTTATTTTTTATTTTTTGTATATTGACGTAATATTTATAAGCTATAATCACTTTTAAAATGTTACAAGAGATCATATAGATACGAGATGTGGTAGGTTGGTTAAACATTGGGAATGAAAATTTCGATTTACGTGCTTAAATGATTACGATTTAGGAATAGATTAGTTAGGCATTGGGAATGAAAATATGTTAGACAGTTCAACATTTTTTACGACATATTGCATGGACCAAAGTATTCTCACGCAACTAACTTTCGTTCGAACTAATATTATCGAGCGTTGATGGTCGATAATATTAAATATTAACATGTCTCTTGCATAGAGTTCATCCAAACAATTTTCAAAAAGAAGTTTTAGTTTTTTACTTGAAAAGTAAAAGTTTTGAAAATTATTATTGATAACTTTTAGAGAAAAAAGAAACACAAACAATATTATGACTATTTCTTATGTCCGGACTAGGTAAGAGTCTAGTGGGTCCCGGTGGAGTAGGTGACTTGGTGGGCGATGTTACGTCAAAGCGTCGTCATCGCTTCGAATGCTTGGATTGATTAGAATAGGAACTTTCAAACTGTCAATGACCATATATGATTGTGAGTCATAATAGTAAATGCAGCTATTAATTACTCCGTTTTATTTACGCCATTTGGGTTGGTAAGAGTGGTACATCATAATCCGCAAATTATGTCATGGAATCGTATTCACCGAGAATGGTGAACACAAAGCAAAACGACATCGTTTTTAGGCAAAAAAAAAAAAAAAAAAAAAATTCGCGGATGTGGAGTTAACGGCGCGCGTTTGATCAAATTATGAATTTTCTGTTAT